GTGGGCCTCTCTGAGCTCTCTCTGGGTCTCCCTGCAGGACAAGAGTGAAGGGGGCAACCCTCAGGCAAATCTTCTGAAGTTCAAGGGAAAAAAGGGGGTGGTCATTCAGTCACTCAACAAACACTCCATCAGTATCCAGGTCAGACCTGGGCTCCTGCTCCGAGCAAGTTCACAGTCTAGTGGAGGAGGAGGCAGCGTGCCCAGTCCTGAATATGGCATGTACCCTGGAGGAAGGCTTAGGGGACAGCGTGGGCACAGGGGCAAAGTGACAAAGAGTATGGATCCAAGAAGGCCTCCTGGAGGAGGTGGCTTGTTGGCTGAGACTGGATGTCTGGGTGGGAGTTCCCAGATAGACCTCATGGGACAGGCCTACCATGGTCCACTCCACAGAATGCCTCCCCATCCAATTCTCCACTGCCACCCCTGCCTCCCTCCACCCATTCCTCACGCAGGGAGATCTCAGCATTCCTCTGCACACAGCCCCCCAGATGCTCTTCACCCCTTCCCAATAAAACTCCAAGATCAGGCCGCTGCTCCCTCTCTGACTCACCTCCTGCTCGTCTCCCCTGCACTCCCTCTGCCCTGGCCACCCTCCTCGCTGTCCTAACAACAAACCCGGCTGCTTCCTGTCTGACAGCCTCTGCTGCTCCCTCCTCCTAAAATGCTTTTCCTCCTGGCCTTGGCCCTCAGGGGTCTACTTAGACATCACCTCAACAGAGGAACCTGCCCCAAGCCCTCTTCCACTCTAGAGCCCTTGCACCCACACCCTTTATGAAGTAGCACCCCTTTTTACCTGCTTCAGAACACTTGGCAGCTTCTGAATCCTCTATTTTCTTTTGCTTCTCCATTTTGAATGAAAGTGTTTGAGAGCAGAGGATGTGTCTGTCTTGCTCACTGCAAAATCCCAGAACAGTTCCTGGCACTCAATAAGTATTCACTGAATGAATGCAAGAATGAGTGAATGAATACATTTCAGGTCATAAGAGCACCATGAGAGGGGAAGGAGAAGGTAGCATTTGTCCCAGGCTCAGCTGTGGCCAAGGCCCATTACCCAGGGGTCTCTTATTCCCCTCTAGCCCCCAGCCTCCCTACATAGACACACACACACCCTCTCTCTCACACACACACACACACACTCTTACACACGACGTGGTCTCCCTTGCTATCCCTAAGAAGACACTGTAGGTGGGGACTGCTAGGATTGGGGCTCCCACCCTTCATGGGCAGCCAGAGCAGGGGTGCCGGCTGGGGCTGACTGGGCAGCCAGTGCCCTCCTGAGACAGGCGGGGGCCAGCTGGCCAGCCCCAAGGCTCACTGGGAATGGGGTTCCCACTTCAAGCCCTGAGCGTCCATACAGCCCCATCGGCAGTTCTCAGTGACCAAGTTCTCAGGGATCTGCTAGTAAATGAAAGAAGTCTTCTAACTGAATTCCAAGAGGGCAGCTGGGCAAGTAAGAGAGACTTGGCGAGGCTGTGGCGGACGGAGCTTCTGGCGAGCTGGAGGGTGGAGTTCGGGATACAGCAGGGCCTGTGTGGCCAGCGGGCCCTGCCCCTGCCTGCTCCCCCACAGCCCCAGTGCATCTGCTTTGCAAAGCCTTCCTCCCATGCTCATCACCTCACAGCCAGAAGGAAGCAGAAGTAGGCACCCAAATCCAAGTCCCCATTCACCAACACCAGCTCTAGGCAGCCTCGAGCTGGGCAGGCCTCAGCCACATGCTTGCTTCACCTGTGATAAGAGCTATAGAACCAGTGAGGACAGGTCCTAGATGCAGAGGGGGCGAAATGGCATGTGTGGTTTCCTGAGAGAGTGAGGTGGGGGAGTCCTCTTTCAGAAGAAGTGACGATAGAACTGGGCCCTGAGGAGAAGGTAGGAAAGTGCCGGCAGGGAGAAAGGGGGCATTAGGGAGTGGTGGTGACTGCAGTGAACTAGAGTCCGTGCCCTTTTGAAAACATCATATATCATTTGACACTGAGCATGCACTGCTTGCTGTTATCTTTGATAGACAAGCACAGGGTTTCATGTCAAAGGGAAAGATAGCTCATGCTAGTGGCCTGCAACGTGGAGAGGGAGAGACCCAAGGCTCTCACTGTGCTTTAGTCCCAGTGAGAGACCTAACTGGGACGGTGAGGGGGGTTGCAGGTGCCGACCACAAGGGTGGAGGTCATGTAGTGGGCGAAGGGGCCAGAGGGAGGGGAAGCCAGCTCTGGCCACCCAGGAAGCTTCCAGCAGCCCCAAGAGGGGCTGAATTTGCCCCCACCCATGGCCTTAGAGTGTCCTTGCCAGCGGTCATAACTGCAGCCTGGAGGGGGCCCCTGGGTCCACCCAATAAATGCCCCCCCAGGGGAATGGGGAGGGGAGACCATGCCAGCGTGGCGTGGCGGAGGCCCAGGAGAAGTGAGCTATGTCCCTTATTGGTCACAGTACATTTATTTTTCATTAGCAGTTAAATGCAGACATGAGGGATTGTGCTGGGTTCAGCGGGCGGCTGACACGAGCAGTGCTTGGCGCGGTGATCGATAGGGAAGTCGGGGGGGTCCATGTGCCCTCTCCCTGCCCATACCCCCAGCTGGGACCCCTGCCTACCCAGCTTCCAGCCAGTAATCAGACACAGGCCGTCACACTGAGCCCCTGTGAGGCAAGGCGCGGGCAGGCCTGGAGGCTGACGCTGAGGTCTCGCATGCCCTTTTGGAGCCTGTGATGCCTGCCCCCAGCCCCCTGTGGGCCCTGCTCAGGGGTCAAGCTTAGCCCTCCTCTGTGCAGCCCTGGGGTCTGCAGAGATGCCGTGGCTTCCCCAGGAAGTGTCTAGAGAGGCTCCTGGACCTACCAGGCCCACACTTGGGAGCCCACCCTTCTCCAGACCTTGGGAGGTCTGAGCCCAGCTCAGCCTTGCCCCGGCTGAGCCCGCTGCCTGGGTCAGGGCGGCTGAGTGACAAGTGAATGTCATAAAAAAGGCTCAGGATGTGGGCCCCCCAGAGTCCAGGGCTGGAGCTGCAGGGCTGGGGAAGTGACTTCTCCCTCAGGCCTCAGATTCCACACCTGTAAGATGACTAGATGGCTCCTCCCCTCTGCCTGCATCCCCACCTTCCTCAGCCTAAAACGGAGACCCAAGGACTGGCAGAGCCCCATGGAAGTGGTTCAGGATGGGGCAGGGCGGGACAAGGGGAGCTTGTCTTCCCAACTGCAAGTGTGGTTCCCTGGCAGCTTAGCCTTCCTTACGGAGCAGCAGAAAGTGCAGGGGGTAGCGGGGAGAGAGGCTGGGGAGAGGCCAGGGTGGGAGGAGGAGGGGTGGATGAGCCCACTGCTGCAGACACGGAGGGCAAGACACCTGCTGGCTCTGTGCCTCAGTTTCCTCATCAGTCCCCACCCCTGAAGAGATTGCTAGGAGAGTTACTGAAGGAGCATTGTCAGTGCAAAAGCACTGGGTATGGATAGCAGCCAACATTTTCCGAGCACTGGGCCTTTTTTCACTTCATCCTCATGATAGCCCTAAGAATTGGGTACCATCCCCCATTTTGCAGGCAAGGAAACAAGCAGGGGTTAACTGAAGTCACACCAGGTTTCTCAGCCTCTGCAGACATTCCCAGCTCACCCACCCGGTGCCTACAGGACCAGGCACAGATCCCCTCCCCAAAATCACAGTCTTGGGGTGGAGAGGGCAGACTCCCACATTGGAAAGAGAGGGTCCCTGTGCAAGCAAGAGAGAAGGGGCAGCGTGGATGCCCCCCTGGGCCCGAGGAGCCAGGCCTCCCTGTTAGAAGCCCTCCATGGGTTTTGGGCTGCCCGTAAGGAGGTAGTGGAGCCAGGAGGCCGACTGCGTGAGGCACCTCCAGACTCCCCCATGGGGCAGACAGGACCTCCATAGATGTCATAGACAACAAAATGGGTAACCTGCCTAAGGTCACCACTAGCAGGGAGCAGATGGGTCTCTGAAGCCCAAGCTTTTCCCTCTTTATGTCCAGAGCCCCCTGTTGGCTGTGAGTGTGTGTTGGGGGAAATCACTGCAGCCCTGAGAGAGGCCAGGCCGTCAGGGGCCTGTTTGGTGGGTGTGGAGGCTGAGGGTGCCCCAACTCTCCATCCTCCCACTCCCCCCCCCACCCCGCCCCTCCCCACCCTCTCAAGGGTCCTGCCGGTGGAGCAGATGGTCAGACTGCTCTGGGGGGTTACCTCCACCAAAGCCTCAGAGCCAATTACCTGTGTAATTAGCAACAAATGACTTGTGGGATGGCTGTGGTTTGCAGTTAAAATTAGGAGGAAACCCATATTCTGGTCTCCTTGAAGGGTGGGACATGGGCCGGGCCCCTGAGGCTCCCAGACACACCCTCCTGGCTCCCACCCTCCCCGGGACCCACCCAGCAGCCCAGGCTCACCCCAAGTCACCCCTCCTGGGGGCCTCTCCTGTAGCACTGCCACCAACACCCCTCACATCTGCACTCGTCACAGCCTCCTCCCCTCCTTCATTCACTTGGTATTTTCTCAGCACCTACTACATGCAGGGGCCAGGAATGGGGAGCAACCCGGAAGCAGCCCCTGAGGCAGCCAGGGCACCAGAGGAAGGGACTCCTGCCCTCCCTAGCCCCAGGCTGCCCAGGGCCCTCTCCCTCCCTCCCTCTCTCCCCCCAACCCCCCCCCACTCCCCACCCCTCTGCTCCACCCACACCCCCCACCCCCACCCCCGGGGCCTTCCAGGGCAGTGGGCTGCCTCACCAGATCCCTAAACTTCTACCAGCGTGGTAATGAGCCCTGACCACTGCTGTGTGCTGGCACTTCCGTATTTGTCTCCACAGGGGGCTGCTTCTTCCCCTATTTTATGGAAGGGGACACTGAAGTTTAAGGGAGGCATTCAGCAGCCCAGCCTGCTGGGCTGGAAGTGGCAGAGCCTGGCCCCACTGGCTGCCTCCTCTTGGCTCGGTCCCAGCCCCTGAACAGGCAGGTAGCCCCGGGAGGGCCCCGCAAGTCCAGCAGAGGCCCCAGCTCACCTGCCCCCTTTGCTTCTGCTGCAGGGGCCCAGCAGAGTGCCACAGTGGCCAACCCGGTGCCCGGCTCTAACCCAGACCTGCTTCCCCACTTCCTGGTGGAGCCTGAGGACGTGTACATCGTCAAGAACAAGCCGGTACTGCTGGTGTGCAAGGCCATGCCCGCCACGCAAATCTTCTTCAAGTGCAACGGGGAGTGGGTGCGCCAGGTGGACCACGTGATCGAGCGCAGCATGGATGGGAGCAGCGGTGAGACCAGGCTGGGGTGCCAGGCGGGGTCACTCGAAGGGGGAGCGAGTCTCAGACTCAGAGGCAATGGAGGCCCAGAGAGGGGCCTGCCATTGCCCCTGCTGCGTGCCTGTGAGCCGAGGCCGGGGTGAAACTAACCACTCTGTGTGCACCACCCCAGGTCCCCAGGAGAGGCAGGACTCCCACACCTGGGACCCACTGTGTACACACCAAGGCCTTCCCTGGGAGGCCCACCCTCACAAGACTTCATCACTTGGTGGGGGAGTGAGTAAAAGGGAAGCCCCCCAAAATGCCCCAGGGAGCTCTGTGGGTTGGGGGAGGGGCGGGACCCTGCCACTGCATCTGAGCCCAGGCAGACCCAGAGGCAGCCTGGCAAGTGGTGCCAACAGAGAAAGGTTTGAAAAGAGTGGATCCCAGATGATGGAAGAGATCACGGACCTCACATTCCGTGATTGTTTTCTTTGTGCATCTGTTGGTTCATTCGTTGGTCCGTTCGTTGGCACGTTCCCTGAGCACCCACCCTTGAGCCGGAGACACAGCCCCACGGAGATGGGGGCAGCACAGTGACCTCTCATTGAGTTCTGGGATCTGTGGCTGCCCAGGGAGGCTCCTCGGGGAAGGTGATATGTAAACCTGGTCAGGGCGAGAAGAGGAGAAGGGCGTCCCAGGCACCCCCAGAAAGGGACACAGCACAAGCAAAACCCTGGAGGCAGATGGGCCGGCGTGCGGGTCGAGGCTTAGCAGGGAGGGTGTGGAGTGTGTGCAGCAGGCAGTGGTGCCATCCAGGAGCCTCACCCGTCCGGCTCTGGAGTGAGGTCACAGTCCTATGGGATTTCAAGCTACCGAGTGACATGACCAGAGCTATGGGTGACACTCGGAGCCAGTGTGGGGGGCTGACAGGAGAGGCAGACCCAAGAAGTGCCCCTTCTGTGGGACACCTCATTCCCCACCTCCAGCCCTGGCCTTAGGCAGTAGGCAGTGGGGATGGGGGCAGAGAGCCATTGTTTGGGTTCCCATGCTCCCCGAGAGCAGGCCGGCAGAGCTAACAGCCTCTCCTCCTCGCTAACTGGACCCCAGTTAAGCTCATTTCTTACCCCTTTGCCTTGATGCTTTGTGGAGCCCACACACATGATGAGCCCTCAGGTCAAGTCCTGAGCCCCTTCCCACTGAGGCTCAGCCAGCCTGAGACATACAGCCCACAGACCCTCTGCCCAGTATGGCCACTTGAGTGAGGCCTGAGTCGCAGGGGCAAGCAGGTGGCACCCAGAACAGCTCACACTGATGCCAAGGGCAGGCAGGGGACCACAGGCCCAGAGGGGTGGCCCATGCTCCTGGTGGGAGGGACTGGGCAGCCCAGGAAGGATTCCCGGAGTGGGGGTGGGGTGGGGTGATAACATCCAACCTCAGTCTTAAAACCAGCTGGAATGACTGTTTATCAGGCCAAAGGACAAATGCAGGGAATGGGAGGCTGGCCAGAGGCCCAGGTTTGGAGCGGCAGAAGTGGGGGTCGGGGGGGTGGTCGGCAAGACGAGGAAGCTGCAGCCACACTTGCACTGTGGGAAGCTGGTGCCAGGCAGAGGGAGACTGGAGGAGGGGGCCCTGCCCTGGTGAACTCGGAAGCTCTCACAAGAACCCAGATGTGAGCAGACGAGCCCTGAGTTTCATCAGCGTGTGATTTAGTTCTCAGAGCCAGCCTGTCCTATTACAGATGGCTCTGACTCATCCAGGGCTCCAACCAGGCATTCTGGTCCACAGAAGTCACACCCCATCCTCCCCTGCCAGGGTCACCAGGTGCTGGTCTTCTTCCCCCCAAGTGTCAGCCCCCTAGTGAGTGATTCTTGCCCAGGTCCTTGAGCCCTGCATTGTCCTGGCCTTACACACACCTGCTGCTGGCAGCGTCCTCCTTGCAGTCCTCAGGTCTTAACTGAGCACCTGCTCTGTGCCAGGCCTCGGTGAGGTGCTAAGAATTTAGCCCACAAGGCTCTTGGTGCAGGTGATCCAGCTCTGCCTCCCACTCTCAGGAGGGGAATGCATGGGGTTGGTGCCCTCTGCGGCAAGCCCCCCTTCCCTCCCTGGGCCTCAGTTTCCTCCTCTGTAAAATGGGGATGAGGATGGCCCCCCTTGGTGGGGGAAGCTGTGAGATCTCTCACACCCAGGTGGAGCCCAGCTCCAGGTCTTTCCTCTCTCCCTACCCCATGCCTAGGGCCCAGCACCACTTTGCAGCATTATGAGTCCTCCTGCTGCTGAGGTAGGTCCCCCAAGGAAAGGACAGGTGAGGAAGAGCAAGCCACAGCCAGAGACCTGTCTCCCCACAGCCTTGAGAGCCTGTCCTGGAACCTCTTGGAAGGTGCCACGCCAGCCCCAAACTGCTCACACCTCCCCTTCCTGGCTTCCCACATATACCCCTCCTTGTCTCCTGCCATCACGAGGTCTGGAATCCATGGCTTGGCTGAGACCCAGGCTCTTGCCTACATAGCAGTCACAGGCCAGGCCAGCCCTCAGCCCACATTCCCCAACAGGCTCTCCTGGCCTTGCTCCCTTCAAAGCCAGGCAGAGAGCAGAGCTCACGGGGACAAGTCCCCATAGCCACCAGGGCCCCCTCCTGCTCTGAGCATCCAACCTCAGGCCTCCCGTGGCCTGCAAATCTGAATTTTCATTGATCTTATTGACTTCTCAACCCAAAGCCATTGAGTGCTTTGAGGCAAAGAGATAGGCTTCTCACTTACCCACAAACAGATGCCCAGGCCATGGGCGGCACCACCATGCTACACACAGACCCAAGACCCTGAGCCAGGAATGCTCTGTGGTCAGGCAGGTATGATGGGGTCAGAGGTCAGCCCAAATCTGAAGCCCCACCCATTTCTGCATGGGGGTGGGGATGGCAGGGTGGACACCCCAGGAGAGAGTACCTGATCTCCCCCTTGCTCGTCCCCATTCCCCATCCAGAAGGCCAGGGGGAGGGGACCAAAGCCTGAAATCTCTTGAACCCAAACCCACTGATAGTGTAAAAGCTGGAAATTTGCAAAACCAAGCATTGGAGTCTGGTCTGGGAGTGTAATTTATCATGTATTAAACAAACTGACTGGTTATTAGAAGCAGTTTGGTAAGAAGGTACCCTAAGCCCTCACTTGCCCTCAGAGCCCCCTACCCCCCCCCACCTCCCAGAAACCCTCAGCATGCCCACACCAGGGCCTCCCCACACGCCCACGGCACTCACACGCCAGCACACACCCGATACGCTCCTAGGCCTGGGCCAGCAGGGACCCCTACATCCTCCCATCCCTCCCCAAGGCTAGCATCTGCTCACATTTACCAGGCAGGTGCGGACACAGCCGTGCCCAGAAACTGCTCCCAGGAGCCAGGCTGCTCATTGACCTGCAGCAGGGAGGGCACAGCCCCTCATTTCAAGGGCCAGAAGGGCAGGCTCTGGGTCTCCCCACCTCCCAGAGCCTGTGGGGCTCAAGGGCACTGCCTGGATCTAGACCTCATGGACAAACCTGGCCCTTATTCGTGGCAGCAAGAAGGAGATGAGATGGCAGGACAGAAGTGTGGAGGAGACAGGGAAAAAGAAATAGGAGCACTTAAATTTTTTTTTTTTAAGATTTTTTTCTAATATTTATTTATTTACTTGGCTGTTGCAGCCAAATAGTTGCAGCACGCAGGATCTTCGTAGAGGCACTCGGGATCTTTCGTTGCAGCGCACAGGCTCAGTAGTTGCGGCGCACAGGCTTAGTTGCCCCGAGACATGTGGGATCTTAGTTCCCCAACCAAGGATGGAACCCGCATCGCCTGCATTGGAAGGCAGATTCTTAACCACTGGACCACCAAGGAGGTCCCAGGAGCACTTAAATTTAGTGCTGTTCTCCCTGAGCTGAGCTGCCTGGGTGGTGCATGAGCTCCCCCCACCACCATGGGGGATGGAGCAGTCCATCCATAGACCTGTCCACCCAGGAGAGGAAAAGAATCCAGTTCAGAATGTTCTGGAGGTCTCCCACCACTAACCCCAAAGGCTGAGAGGGAGGACCCTGTCTCTACCCCCAAGTATGTGCACAGCTCCTTCTCAGATGCTCCAAGAATCTGTGTGCTTGACAGCTGGCTGGTGCCCAGGGCCCCTCTCCTATGCACAGACCCTGTAAGGGACCCTTTCTCGCTTCTCAGCCCTCATCCCACACCACTAGAATGCACACATCCAGTGCCTTAGAGGATGGGGTAGGCAGTGCCCAGAATGGAGGGATCTAGCCCAGTGATTGTGACCTCAGCCAGAGGTGATACACACCCCCCAAATCCTGCGAGAACTCACGGGGAGGGCAGGGGTGAGGGATAGGAAAATCTGGGAGCCCAGTGTGGGAGCCGGAGAGACTCATGAGGAGGGGTCTGGGCAGGGGTCAGGGAAAGACACGTTAGAGAAATTAAGACAGAAAACAGCCTCCTGGCTTGCCTGCTCAGCCTGGCGGCGGCTCCTCCTGCAATGCAGCCCTAATTGAATTTCTCTGTTAACAATGGAAACACCAGCCTCTCTCCCTCTTTCTGATAAGCCAATGACCCAAGGGAAATTGGGGTCAGGAGGAGGAAAAATTGGAAAGTCTTTTCTTACTCCTGGGGACACTGTTTTGTCTGAGGGCCAGGGGCCTGGAGGAGGACTGGTATTCCCCCTCCTGGGTCCTCAGAAATCTGGACCCTCCCCAGATGCCCCACACCTGGTTCTGGGTGTGGCAGACATGGGGGCACTGTGTCCATCCTTGAGAGGTGTTTCCTCCAGCCCAGTCCATTCAAGGTAGAGAGGGTCCCGGCCACCCATCACAGGCCAGCTTCCCCTCTATGAGCTGCCCCCTCCCCCTCGCCAACATTTCTCCCTGTGGGATGGGCACCCCCAGCACCCTCCTCCGGTGAACCCCTCGCACGCCTTGGATTCTGAGCACTCTGAACATACTCTGGATTCAGACAGCAGACAGCCCTGGACGCCTATGGCAAGTCACTGCCTCTCGGAGCCTCTGTTTCCTCATCCACGGAGTGGGAGCAATACCTCCAAGAGAGCAGATTGAAAAAGATAAGCCAGCACATGGGAAACCCTTACTAAGCCCCAGGGGTCTATTATCATACAACATAATCACTGTAATTATCTTGTTAATAGCTGTTATTATATTATCACTCATCAGGATGTACCTACTAACCCCAGGAGGTGAGCCAGATAGCTCCTTACCCTTTTTTTTAACCCACAAAGGTCCCAGGGCTAGCCTATCTGCCCCACCTCCTCTGCCAGCCCCTGTTGCCCAAAGCTCCTCTGTGCCCTTGTCTCTGAAACAACAGGAAGCTCCTGTAGTGATATTTTTGTAAGTGACTCCAGGGAGACAGGCCTTGGGTAACAAAGGGTAACAAAGTATAATGAATGGAAGTGCTAAGCACCCACTCTTGACCTTCAGGTGATATAAAGGGACTCCCACTGAGCCCCCCCAGTGTTCCCTCCAGGCAGAGCATTGCCCCGCCCCCCCCAGTCCGTCCGCTCTCCTGCTGAGCAGAGGGAGGACTATGGTGGTGCAGGGGCCCGGCAGGGGACTGGACAGAGAGGCCTGGGGGCTAGGCATGGCCCCGGCCCTTGCTACCCACCCCTCCACCCTCAGGACTGCCTGCCATGGAGGTCCGCATCAATGTCTCGAGGCAGCAGGTGGAGAAGGTGTTTGGGCTGGAGGAGTACTGGTGCCAGTGCGTGGCGTGGAGCTCCTCGGGCACCACCAAGAGTCAGAAGGCCTACATCCGCATTGCCTGTGAGTCCAGGGCGGAGGTGGCCCTAGGGTGTCACTGGGGGAGGAGGGCTCATCAGAAATCCTCAGATCCTGCCTTGATGGGTGGAGGGAGTGCCTATGGACGCTGCCCAGCCACCCCCACATCCCCCTGGGCACTTGACACTTCCTTCTGGCATGTGCCATGGCCCCTGCAGGACCAGGGGACAGGGTCAGCCAGGCTGACCTGGCGTGAGGCACTCAGCCTGGAGGACACTCTTGTTCTTCCCCCAGATTTGCGCAAGAACTTTGAGCAGGAGCCGCTGGCCAAGGAGGTGTCCCTGGAGCAGGGCATCGTGCTGCCCTGCCGCCCGCCAGAGGGCATCCCCCCAGCTGAGGTGAGCAGGGCTCCAGTGCCACTCCACAGGTGGGCAGTGCTCCCAGGTCTCGAGTCCCGCCTGCCCACCCCTCCAGGCTGATCCCCCACCCCAGGGGCCACTCTCGCTCCTGGCAGGGCCAGCATAGTCAGGTAGTACAGTGGCATGGCTCCCTCCCCCAGGTGGAGTGGCTCCGGAACGAGGACCTGGTGGACCCATCCCTGGACCCCAATGTGTACATCACGCGGGAGCATAGCCTGGTGGTGCGACAGGCCCGCCTGGCCGACACGGCCAACTACACCTGCGTGGCCAAGAACATCGTAGCTCGTCGCCGCAGCGCCTCCGCTGCTGTCATCGTCTACGGTGGGCCCCGGTGCTGGTGGGGCAGAAGGGCTCCGGGCATAGGAGAGGCACTGGGGCTGCCTTCAGGGCAACCACATGTGGCTGGCTCCCTGCAGAGCCAGGACCAGGCAAGCCAAACCGTGGCCTGACTGGGAAGGACAGGGAGAGGGCTTACTGTGGCTGTCAGGGAGCCAAGGGGATATCTGGGTGGAGATGGGGGGCAGGTTGATGGTCATCTGTGGCTGGACCATCCCTTGGCTTACTTGTGGGCAGGAGGCCATTGTGCAGAAGGAGATGAGTGGACAGGATGGGAGTCTAGGAAAGTGACAGACCACAGCCTGTACTCCTGTGTCCCCGGGGTAGGAAGTAGAGCGACCTGGGCACCCCCAGGAGCAGAAAGAGGGAGGGGTGCGGGAGTAACCCCCGTGAAAGGCTGGGGTTTGGGTTGGAGGAACATGGGAGTTGTAGCTAGGGCTGGTGCCCACAGGGAGAAGGGGCTGTGGAGCGGGTGCTGCCAGGCCCTGGGGGCAATGGGCAGAAGCATGGTCTCCCCTCCAGGGCCTCTCTCTCAACACAGCTGTAGCCTGCCCGTTTCCAGCTCACAGCCCCTCTGTCCTCCTGCCCTGGCCCCTGGGCCAGTGTGTCTGAGGAAGCCCCCGCTCCCTGACCCCAGTCCTTCTCTGTCCGGCCAGTGAACGGTGGGTGGTCGACGTGGACCGAGTGGTCCGTCTGCAGCGCCAGCTGTGGGCGTGGCTGGCAGAAAAGGAGCCGGAGCTGCACCAACCCGGCGCCTCTCAACGGGGGCGCCTTCTGTGAGGGGCAGAATGTCCAGAAAACAGCCTGCGCCACCCTGTGCCCAGGTACCAGCGGCTGCCGCCTCCCGCATCGCTCTTCACCACGCCATCTCCGTGCCCTGGCTCCATCGTGCCCACCAGCCTGCTCCCCATGGCTCCATCCCACCCACCCGCACGCAGGGCCAGGCTCACAGTCTGAGGCCAGGATGGGTTTCAGTGTGATCGGAGGCAGGGCTCAGTCTGTGTCCAGGCCCAGCCTCAGCAGAGGGGCTGAGTCACAGGATCTAAGGTGCAGTCAGGACAGGTACAGTCAGTGTGGGGCAGGCCCCAGCCTGGTGCTGCAGAACCACCTGTGCCTGGGATCAGAGGGTCATTGTGCGACCAAGTGCCCTCACTGGTCCCCAGGGCCAGGATGGCCCGCGGTGTGGGTAGAACCAAGCAGGCCCAGCGTCATCGTGCCTTTTGTCATTAGCATGCATCATCCAGGCCCGCTGGACACCAGAGGGCTTGCAGCCTGGCAGGCTTGGCCCTAGCCCTGACATTGCACCAGGTCCGGACTCCCAGTGGGGCCACACTGGCAGATGGCCTGGACTGGCTCCCTGGGCTGACCACGCCATCTCTTCTCTGTCCATGTCTGTCTCGCATCTAGTGGATGGCAGCTGGAGCCCGTGGAGCAAGTGGTCGGCCTGTGGGCTCGACTGCACCCACTGGCGGAGCCGTGAGTGCTCTGACCCAGCACCCCGCAACGGAGGTGAGGAGTGCCGAGGCACTGACCTGGACACCCGCAATTGTACCAGTGACCTCTGCGTGCACAGTGAGTCCTCTCCACCCGGGAGTCCTCTTGAGTTTGCCAGGATTGGCCCGGCCCTGCCCCCGGGAGGTGGTGGCTAAGGGATCAGTCCCCTGCCACAGGCTGCACCCCCTATTCAAAGCTCAGGACCTTGGGGAACCCCATCCCTAACACACCCAACATGTGCCCACATATACCCCAATACCTCCCATACCTGCCCTGAGACATGCATACATTTGGAGATTTTACTGTGCACACCTGGCCTCTGGGATCATCTCCCAACCCCCTTCTTGTCTTCTCCTGCAGTTTTACCTCCGCCCCTCCCCCAAGTGCACACACAAGTCCTGTGGGGACACCAGACTTGTGAGGCCTGTTAATTACAAGGCCATAACTAACAATTAAAGATCTCTGTTGGATTTTGTCTCTAGGACACACCCTCCCCCATTCTTTCAATTAAAAACCTGATTATCTGTGTCAATTCCTTTCTGATGGACATTTCTTCCATTATGCAAAGCCCTTCTAAAATCAATATAGTTTCCTCCAGACAGTCAATCACTCTCTCCTCAGCCCTGCCCCAGGCCTGTGGGAGGCAGACAAGGAGAAGAGCCCTAGCACCCCTGCTCCTGGCCCAGGGACTGGCCAGGAACCAGAATGGCAGACCCTCCCCCCCACCTCCCCAGAAAGCAGATCCCCTGCTTTGGGGATCCTAGGAGCTCACCCTCAGTCTCAGCTGCCCTGGGCCCCAGAAGAGCAGGTTCAGCCTAGCAGCCTGGTTCCAGGCCACCCAGGAAAGTGGCTCTTCCCCTCCTCCATTCTCCATCAGCAGCAACTTCAACATGAATTGAGCTCATGAGGGTTGCAATTTGCTCAGAGAGACACAGCAAGGTGGTGGCAGATGCAGGACTGGAATGCATGTGTGCCGATTCCATGCTCCCTGCTGCCAGCGTCTGCTCCTCCACTGGTGCTGATGCCCAAGAAGTGGAGGCCGCATCCTCCTGGGGTGTAGACCGCTGACCTCTCCTTCCCGGCCTCCTGCACCCTACCCCTCCCAAGCCTGCACTCTCTCCCACAGCTGCTTCCGGCCCAGAGGACGTGGCGCTCTACGTGGGCCTCATAGCCGTGGCCGTGTGCCTCCTCCTGCTGCTGCTCGTCCTTATTCTTGTGTACTGCCGCAAGAAGGAGGGACTGGACTCGGATGTGGCCGACTCATCCATTCTCACCTCAGGCTTCCAGCCCGTCAGCATCAAGCCCAGCAAAGCAGGTGGGGTGCCCCTGTCCCCAGCACTCGTGCCGGACCCCCATGCCAAGGGCCGCCCAGACAGGGCTGCCCCCCGTGCCACTCTCTAAGTCTGTCTGATCCTTGCAGACAATCCCCATCTGCTCACCATCCAGCCAGACCTCAGCACCACTACGACCACCTACCAGGGCAGTCTGTGTCCCCGGCAAGATGGGCCCAGCCCCAAGTTCCAGCTCACCAACGGGCACCTGCTCAGCCCGCTGGGTGGCGGCCGCCACACGCTGCACCACAGCTCACCCACTTCCGAGGCTGAGGACTTCGTCTCCCGCCTCTCCACCCAGAATTACTTCCGCTCCCTGCCCCGCGGCTCCAGCAACATGGCCTATGGGACCTTCAACTTCCTTGGGGGCCGGCTGATGATCCCTAATACAGGTGGGAAGGACCCTAGAGTGCCCCAGGGAGCTCTAAGAGACAAGACTAGCATGTGTCCCTCTTGGAGGAGGACGGGACCGGGACAGCCTTGATGTTCCTCCTATACCTCTCAGCCTCACCCCGAGGGCTGAGCCAGCCCAGCAAGGAAAGAGGATAGAGTTTTGGAGAGGATCCAGTCTTGGCTGGCAGTGGGGCTGGCACTGAGGCTGAGGCCAGAGCTATCTCCCTCTGTTGCCCAAGGACACAGGACTACTGTCCATTCATTTACACAGCCAACCAGCCTGTGTGTGCCGGGCCCTAGGCCCCAGGGATCTGGGGAACTAGTGGAGAGATAGCAGAGGAAAAATGCCTGGACAGGGGCTCCTCCACCTACCACCTCACCGAAACCCCTGGGACAGGGTCTCAGAGACACCTTCATAGAGAATCCACAGACCCTTTTGATGGTCATCTTTCGGGAAAGCGCCACAGCCTCTGGTGTGTCTCCCCTCTCCCACCCTGAAATTCTCTATTTCCTCGGTTTAGGTGACCCCACATGGCCCTGACTTCCTTGTTCCTCTGCAGCTGCTCCTGGTGCCTGCTCCCTAAATGTAGGTGTTCCTCAGAGCACGCCCCCCACCCCCAACCCTGGCGCCCTCTTCCCAAGTGATCTCACCCACTCCATGGCTTTAATCGCCATGTCTGTGCAGATCACTCCCATTCCTCCATCCCCAGCCACAGTTCTCCTGGGTGACAGAATCGTACACCCAGCTGCCTCCTGGACAGCTCCATCTGGATGTCTCACAGCACCTCAGATTCCTCATGCCTAAAACAGCACCGTCTCCCACCCTCCCCCAGAACCTCCTCCTTCCCAGTTTTCTCTTCCTCAGGCATGGCACAGTCGAGTTGCTCAAGACAGAAACTAGGGGTCACCTTGGCCTCCTGCCCTTCTTCACTTTCCCCCCTCACCTTCACACCAGCTTCATTCACACACTGATCCCATCATTCTTTCTCCTCAAATGCTCCTGCATCCTCCTGCTTGTCTTTCCTGCTGCCTCTCCTGGGCTAGGCCACCACACCTACCTCTCGTCTGAGTCACAGCTCCAAGCATTTACTCACTAGAGCCACACTTGATCATGTCCCTTTCTGGGGCTTCCACTTTTCCCTTCAAAGCCCACATGACAAAACCACAAGGACTCATCCCCCGTGGCCAGCTGCAGTGGCCTCTCCTCCCATGCACATTTCTCCTGCACTTGGCAGCCACGGTGGGCTCTCATGAACCCAAATACACTGGGCTGCCCTTTGTACATGCCGTCTCTCTGCCCCCATCCACTAGCTTAACTGCTACTTCTCCTTCGGGTCTGGTAGCTGTCCCTTTATGCCTCATGTCCCCCTCACATGGCTGCTAAGATGATGAGGTGAGATGGTCCATGTCAAGCTCTTAGAAAAAGGCAGGCGCACAGTGGGCGCTCAGTGATCATGCACCCTTCACTCCCCTGGTGGGGCGAGTGGCCAGGTGGGCTGTGCTCCACCCTGCTCTCCCCCAACACCCAGCATCCTTTGCTCCCGTCCACTTATCTGTCTCCCCGCGGACTGAATGCTTCATGAGAGCAGGGCTCATGGTTTTCCCCACCTTCCTGAGTACTCAGCATTAGCATTCACTGAATGAGTATTTGAGTGAGGGTAGTACCCCCGCCACAGCGAGCATTCACACGTGGATCACCGAGACTGTCACCAACCCTGGCAGCCGGTACCAGGAGGCAGCACAGGATAGAGAAGGGAGCAGTAGCTGCAAGTACACCACCACTGGCTTCCCTCTCTCTCCTGGGCTTCAGTTGCTGGGAAGTTGTGATATTCCAGCCACCCCACCTCAGAGCTGCCCACTCTGGAGAGCACGCATATGCTTTTGGACTTGGTGGGATAGCCATAGAATTTCTTCCCCTCTCCCTGTCATGAGCCTCTGAGGCCCCTCCTGATATAGGGGCTCTCTGTCCTAAAAGGGCAGGGAGGTGGGGCAGGACCGCTCCTTGCCATCCCCAGAGTGACTCCCCAGCCCCTGGCCTCACCGTGGCCTGCCCCCTGCCTCTCCCCTGGAACCACCTCTCCCCCAGCAGATGCTTTCTGATGCTGCCCCTGCAAGACGCTGAGACAAAGGCAAATCAGCCAGACAGGACGTGTGTGCAATGGCACCCAGACTAGAGAGGGCTACCAAAGTAGGCAAGATTGTTAAAGGCCCCAGCCCCACCTGCAGGGGGCCACTGCCCAACAGGGAGCAAAGTCACCAGAGGTGGGGTGCCCACCCAGAGGTGGCCAAGCCGAGGGAGAGAGGAGGAACTTGAGCAGGCCAGGAGGGTGGAGCACTCAGAGGCACACTGAGGGTGGTGGCTCCAGAACAGCCAAGTACGCAGCACAGGCTAGGCCCACAGGCCAAGGGCCTTAAATATCCAGCCAAGGAGCTGGACTTTACCCTGGAGGCAGGGAAGGTTTTAAGTGGATGATGGGGCAGGTAGGTACAGTGTACCTGGGGGTTCCAGAGTTTTCTGTGCCCAAGCTAACTAGGCAAGCATTTCCCACCTGAGTTCCCTCAGCCGCTCTTGGGGTCTCCCTGACTCAGCTTCATGCCTGTGCGGGTGGTTGGCCAGCCTGGCAGTCCCAGTGGCACTTCTGTTCCCAGGCCAGGCTGGCGCCGGTCAGTCCTCAGAGGGAGGCTCAGGGGGGGACTGGCGGAGTGAGGTGCTCGGTGTCTCTGCAGCCCTGGTAAGCCCCGGCTGTCCCCCCGCTCTGTCACAGGCGTCAGCCTCCTCATCCCCCCGGACGCCATACCCCGAGGAAAGATCTACGAGGTCTACCTCACGCTGCACAAGCCGGAGGATGTGAGGTGCGGGCATGGGCCCTGCTGCTGGGACTGGGCGGGTCCTGTCCTTTCCTGCTGCCACCGCGACGCCCCTGCCCACCCCACTATTGGGCCTGGTCTGGCCTGGCCCGAGGGAGGGCAGGGGAAGAGGGGCTCCTAAGCTCCACCCAGCTCCACAGCCCCTAACCCCAGGGTCCCAGGGTGGCCCACTGATGCCTTTCCCTTCCCACCCATATTTCCCCACTTGAGGTTGCCCCTAGCCGGCTGTCAGACCCTGCTGAGTCCCATCGTTAGCTGTGGGCCCCCCGGAGTCCTGCTCACCCGGCCAGTCATCCTCGCCATGGACCACTGTGGGGAGCCCAGCCCCGAGAGCTGGAGCCTGCACCTCAAAAAGCAGTCCTGCGAAGGCAGCTGGGAGGTGAGCCCCAAGCCTCCTCCCCATCCCCCCACCCCACCCCCCCACCCCCCAAGCTCAGGGTGGTGTCTGGCTTCCTGCCTGGCCCTTGAGCCACGGCCCCCCCCAACCAGTCTCCGGCCACTCCTCAGAGCTGTGGTTGGCTGCGAGCTGACCCACCAGGCCCTGCCTGCAGGATGTGCTGCACCTCGGCGAGGAGGCGCCCTCCCACCTCTACTACTGCCAGCTGGAGGCTGGCGCCTGCTATGTCTTCACGGAGCAGTTGGGCCGATTCGCACTGGTGGGAGAGGCTCTCAGCGTGGCCGCGGCCAAGCGCCTCAAGCTGCTTCTGTTTGCCCCCGTGGCCTGCACCTCCCTCGAGTACAACATCCGAGTCTACTGCCTGCATGACACCCACGATGCACTCAAGGTACCTTCCAGCCCCACCCTGCCACAGGGAGGCCGGCTCTGACGGCTGACCACCCCTGGCCCTAGGGAGGGGCCAGTAGAGAGCGGCGCTCCCAGCCGCCAGGCCTGGCTGACACCTGGGGCACTGCAGGAGGTGGTGCAGCTGGAGAAGCAGCTGGGAGGACAGCTGATCCAGGAGCCCCGCATCCTGCACTTCAAGGACAGTTACCACAACCTGCGCCTGTCCATCCATGACGTGCCCAGCTCCCTGTGGAAGAGCAAGCTCCTCGTCAGCTACCAGGTGCGGGCGCTCAAGGTGCTTGGAGCTGGGCACACCTGAGCTGGGCACACCTGATGCCACCTCTCTGTCACCCCCCACCCCCAGGAGATCCCCTTTTATCACATCTGGAATGGTACACAGCAGTACCTGCACTGTACCTTCACCTTGGAGCGCGTCAGCCCCAGCACCAGCGACCTGGCCTGCAAGGTGTGGGTATGGCAGGTGGAGGGCGACGGGCAGAGCTTCAACATCAACTTCAACATCACCAAGGTGGGCAGCACTGCCATAATGTGCTCCCCCACTGGGCCTACCCTGCCACCAAGCCCACCTCCTAGAAACCGCTTGGCAGCTCCCTCCAGGTCTCCCAGGGAGGGAGGTGCAGATGCACATGTAGACAGATGCAGACAGATGCTGTTGGACTTGGGGAGGAGGAGATGGGAGCAGCAGGGAGAGGAGGGGGAGATGGAGCTGGCCTGGGGACCTCGGAGGACTTCCCTGAGGAGGGACTTTTACTGGGCCTGGAAGGATGAGTAAGAGTTAGACAGGCAGCAATGAGGGAACTGAGTGTGGAGGACAGAGGCAGTGAGAGGACAGCAGTGAGTTCTGAGTGATCAGCAGAGTTCTGCTGGTCAGCAGAGGGTGGCAGAGGTGACGTAGGGAGGAGTGATGGGGTGGGAAGGAGAATGAGGTCAGAAGGTTCCTCTGCTCATTGGCTGTGTGACTGTGGGCAGGTCACTGCACCTGAGTGCTCCAGTGAGCAGGGCCCTGGCCCACCGGGAAGCAACAGTGCCCACGCTGTCCCCATGCCCTGAGGTGGTCCAGGCATTCCCCCAGTGTGAGGTAGCAGTGGGCTGGGCTGGGCAAGTTGTAACGGTTACCTCCACCCCTCCCCACTTCCAGGACACGAGATTCGCTGAGCTGCTGGCCCTGGAGAGTGAAGGGGGGCTCCCAGCCCTAGTGGGCCCCAGTGCCTTCAAGATCCCCTTCCTCATTCGGCAGAAGATCATTACCAGCCTGGATCCACCCTGTAGCCGGGGTGCCGACTGGCGGACTCTGGCCCAGAAACTCCACCTGGACAGGTGGGTGGGAGATGGGCAGGGAGGGGCTGTGAAGGCCACCTGCAGTCCAGCCTGGGTGGAGAGGATGGTGGGGGGGGGGCAGTGGACAAGACACACTCTGGGGCCTGTGCCCCAGCCACCAGCAGCTGGGGCATCCCCTTGGCTGAGTGAGGGGAGGCCCTGTCCTTGGGTGGTCTAGGAGGGTAGAGGCAGCAGCCTGAGGGAAGCCAGGCCACTGACGGGCTCCCCTCCCTTCTGCAGCCATCTCAGCTTCTTTGCCTCCAAGCCCAGCCCCACAGCCATGATCCTCAACCTGTGGGAGGCGCGGCACTTCCCCAACGGCAACCTCAGCCAGCTGGCTGCAGCAGTGGCCGGACTTGGCCAGCCAGATGCTGGCCTCTTCACAGTGTCAGAGGCCGAATGCTGAGGCCGGCGAGGCCCACAAAGCCTACACTCTCACCAGCTTTGGCACCCGCCAGGGACAGGCAGAAGCCACCACCGGGGAGAGCTGTGTGGACAGGCCCCCTCCTGGCAGACGCTATCCCCTAACACTGGCCCTTCAGACCCTGCCCGCACTCCTTCCCCTCCATGGCCTGCCTGGCCGGGCTGGCACTGCCACCTGCTCCGACTCTGCCCGGGGCCCAGGGTGGACAGTGCCTGGAGCCCGGGCTGGCCCCAGCCCATCTGTGTGTGTGTATGTGCGTGTGATGCTACCTCTCCTCCTGCCCCAGCCAGGGGGCCGCATACACACGGGCATACATGCACACGATGGGCTCGGGACGTGGCCCCCGGAGCTCCTGCCTGAGCTGGACCTTATGCAAACATTTCTGTGCCTGCTGGGTAGGGGCACATCTGAGGGGCCTGGCTCCAAGCCTGTGGGACTGAGGGCCACAGCTGCACAGGGGGCAGCCCCTGGATTCAGGCACACAACTACCACACGGGCATGTGCCCATGCATGTCCCGTGTGCTCCTGTCACATGCATCCCCCCACACATGCATCTCATGCTGTACACCTGGAGGCTGCTCACGTCTCTCACGCCCGGTGTCAGTCCACATCTGCCTCTCACATGCTGCCCTTCTCCCACCCACCCAGGGACACCCAACGGCTCCTCTCCGATCCCCCCCTGCCCCCAGCCACGAGGAGCCCTGCCTGACGGGGCATGTGAATATGCAACGGGAGTCCCGGGCTGGACAATGGCGAGTGTGCGTGCCGTGGCGTGCCCGTTCTTGGGGCTGGCCGGTGCCCCCGTGCGGGGCCTGTCATGTGAAGCTTGTGCCCTGACTCTGTTTTAAGTGCATTCGTGCACTTACACTTGGCCTTATGTACACAGCCTTGCCCGGCCGCCAGGGCGCGTAGGGATTTTAGCGGACGTGAATGTAAATAAATTATATATATATATTGCTAACCCAAGTGCTACTTCTCTCAGGGAGAGCTAGGGGTCCAGGCCAGTGGCCATGGAGGGGTCATACATGGCTGTTTTGGAAGTCCTGGGTGTCTGGACCTGGCTGGGGGACAGATGGGGTCCCAGCCCTCGTCCAACAAAGCTGGTTGCTGGAGACTTCTTCAGACACAGGTCATCTGGGCAAGGCGGCAGGCAACAGCGGTGACCAGGGCTGCACCTTTGCCGGACCCGTCCTCTGATTGCAGGAAGGTGACCACACAGCGAGGGGCCAGCTCCCGCACTGTGGCTGCCACCAGGCTGGAGAAGCTGTGAGGGGGAGAGGCCGAGGTGAGACCAGGTCAGCCGGGCTCCACCTGGCCATGCCTCCCTGCCCAGCCTGGCACCCAGACTCACTGAGGGTGCAACTTGTAGAGGGTTCCATCCACCCCCACGGACACAGTCAGCTCTTCCAGGCCCCGGTTCTCACGGATCTTCTCCACCACGGCAGCCACACCTGCCCCACAAAGCTGGGCGGCCCTCTGGGACACAGCCTGGCACACCTCCAGGACCATCAGGGCATCATCTGAGGTCAGGGACAGCCCCAGATCCTCCAGGATGGCTCGGACCTGCCTCAGGGCCAGGCTGTCACTGGGGACAGGAGGGAATAGAGCACAGAGAGGCAAGATGCTGCATGAGCGCCCCCTCTCATGGCTTTCTCGTCCTCTGGGTGCACCTCCCTCCAACCAGCATTCCACCCAACGATAGAGTCCTTTGGGAGGTGGAAGGAGATAATGCAGGCCTCAGCACCTTTCAATCTCAGAGAGAAACTTGGTCTTGAAGATGTCCCTGGTCTGAAGGCGCTGGGTCTGCTGGCCCCGGAAGAGAACTCCAAGGCTGGTCAAATGCAAGAGGGTGTGGCGGACAATCTCCCCCAGGTACATGCCACTGATCATCTTCTCAAACCTGCGTGAAAGTGTGTGTGCACACAGGGCAGGAGGCCCCAGCCCCATGCCACCACCAGCCACATCACTAGTGCCAGCCACCACCAGTCACACCTGCCCAGCCCAACCCTCACCTCTGCTTGCCAGGGTTGATGGATGCCTGGTCCACACTTGCATCAAAACGGGTACTGAGCATGCTGAGAGAGCCATCGTCCCCAAAGGCACCCCACTCCATGTTGATGCACATGTGGCCTGAGTCCCCAGCCACACTTGCCACATTCCGGAGCTCCTCCATGTAGCAGGCATTGGTGCCAGTTCCTTCAGAGAGGCCAGATGGGGTGGAAGCCACTTACTGTTGCAGACAAGATCCCTCTGAGCCCTTCCCACCGAGATAGCAAAATCTGGGCTCATTTCCTACCTCTCCATCTCCTCATGCTCATTGGCCTGCCCGAAGCCCGGTCCTCCTTCCTTCCTCGCATCCCTTTTTCAGACCCTGCCACCATCAAGCCCCCCAGGACTCTACTACTTCCCCTACCAGCACCACCATCAGCGCATCTCCCATGCTACCCCAGGGTGCTCCCAAAATGCCCGTCATTCACATCATTCCCCTGAGAGATGTGTGACAGCCCCTGCTGTCACATGGGTGAGAGGCCCAAGCCTTCCTCGACTGGCCTTCCAGGTCTTTAGTCAAACAGTAGGTGCTGGGCCAGGAACCGGGGACATAAAAATGAGACACAAGGAGCTCCACAGTGGCCAGAGGTTGGGCAATGAGCAGCCAACTCTGATACTTCCTGTGTGTGCCCAAATAGAAGTGCAAAGAAAAGCATCATGGAACACCCAAGCACAGGTGAGTCTTCCTGCCTAGAAAGTCAGGAAAAGCTACAGAGAGAAAGTGACATTTGGATTTGACCTTGAAGCCAAGAAGCTTAGACAGAAGGCATACCCTGGGTAAAGGCTTTTCCTTCTTCTCCCCAACACACAACCAGCTCTAAGCAGGTGTGTTGGACCCTGGAATTACTCCATCCAGTTGTTAATTCACACAGCAATCTGGGCCTGCCTCTCTCGAGCATCTCCCGGTGCCAGACACTATGTTCAAGAAGCTCCCAGTCTCCTTCGAGGCTGCCACATACCTCCAGCTCTAAGAAACGGATGTCCAAGGAGCTATGGGATCCCTCCTCCCCCTTCTAGCCAAGTTCCTTTTTTTCTTTTCAAGGCTTTCAAGTCTCACTCATGTCGGGACCCCTTCCTTTCTGATCTTGGCTTGTTGCCCTGGCATTTAGAGTCAGATTCAGCTCTCTCTGACGGCCACGTGCTCTTCTGGATTCAACCCTCACTAAACAGTCAGTTCCGAGAAGGCAGATATTTTCCCCTTCTTTATGTGTCTTCCTGTCCCTTCATCCAGCCCCCAACTGGCCACAGGAGAGGTGCTTAATAAAAACTTAGAATCTTGGGGACTTCCCTGGCGGTCCAGTGGTTAAGACTCCACACTCCCAATGCAGGGGGCCCGGGTTCGATCCCTGATCAGGGAACTAGATCCTGCATGCCACAACTGAGATCCCTCATGCTGCAACTAAAAAGATCCTGCGTGCCACAACTAAAGATCCCATGTGCCACAGCTAAGACCCAGCGTAGCCAAATAAATAAATAAATATTAAAAATTTTTTAAAAAGACTTAGAATCTTGGACTATTCAAAGAACCATCTCAACTCATTCTCTGCACACACCCATCCCATCACTGGGGTCCCACCCAATTCCAAATACTCTGTAGGCCATGAGCCAGGCATAATGCTACACTTTGTCCCCTCCCATTTCATCCTCATAACCCCTTAAGATAGGCATCATTATTATCTCCACCTTAGAGATGAGGAAACTGAGGCTCTGGTGATTTGCCCAAGGTCATACCAGTGGAAGTGGCAGAGCTAGTATTTCCACCCAAATCTGTATGACTCCAAAGCTCACATTCATTTAACAGATGGGCAAACTGAGGTTCAGAGAATTTAAACGACTGTGAGTCAGTAGCTAAGCTGGGCTAAACACTGAAGCTCCAGACCCTCAGCCCAATAGAGTGTTCCAGGGCCCCATTGAGTCAGGTAAGAGTGATGCCACATCCCCAAGGCCAGGGGAATGTTCAAATCAACAGGAGGCAGTAAATTAGCAACAGGCAGTAGGGGCACAAAACAGCAGGGCCCTCCTCACCTACGATGAGGCCAACCTCGCAATGGGGGTCCTCGTAGCCACAGGACATCATGGTCCCCACCGTGTCATTGACAATGGCAACCACATTCAGTTCCACTGCCTGCACACAGAAGGATGCTGCTAGTTGCTGGGCAACGTGGTCGTCACAGCAACTAGCATTGGACCCAGAGGTCTCTACTACAGAGGGCCCCCCACATCAGGCAGCGGGAGACCCTTTGCTGCCTTCAAGGCCCGTCACTCCAAAGCACCCCTGTAGGCAGACTACTTACCTGTCTGCGCCCGATGGCTTCCCGCAGCAGACACACAACATCTTGGCCCTCACAGTCAGATGCATTGAAACCCTTTGTCCAGTTCAGGAGGATGCCCTGGGGTGGGACCAAGAGGAAGCAGGAAGCTAGAGTTCCCTTGGAATCTCACTTTGCCTCCCCAAAGCCTGCATCCCATCAGAATGCAGTATATGATTCCCTCCCCACATAGGATTCTGTGCCTACTCTGTCATACGATTAAGGGCCTTGCCTTCTGCCCCCTCCCAATTCCCCAGGAGGATTCCAGTGTGAAGAAACCTATTAATAACCATCCAACCTACGTCTTCTACTTTTAGTGCCAGAATGCTCAGATAGTTTGAGGGTCTGGCCATTTTAAGACATCTGCCCAGGGCTTCCCTGGTGGCGCAGTGGTTGAGAGTCTGCTTGCCAATGCAGGGGACACGGGTTTGTGCCCCGGTCCGGGAAGATCCCACGTGCCGCGGAGCGGCTGCGCCCATGAGCCATGGCCACTGAGCCTGCGCGTCCGGAGCCTGTGCTCCGCAACGGGAGAGGCCACAACAGTGAAAGGCCCGCGTACCGCAAAAAAAAAAAGACATCTGCCCAGAAGGAATGGCCCTTTGTAATTGGGTTAGGAATTAACAGATCTGGTAAAATGAGTGCTGTGTGTGAGAAAGGGAAGGACAGAGAAGGCTCAGAGGTCCAAATAACAGCAGCGTCTGCTCTCCCAGAAAGAGCTAGCAAGAGTCACTTGAAAGGAAGGAATCCTCAGAGTTAGGACGGAGCCGTGTCAATGGGAGATTCACAGGCATGTTCCAGATATGAGTGAAGGATGAATGGAAAAGCCAGAAACCAGACACCTGGGCAGGACAGGAGGGGACAAGACAATTTACTGTGAGAAACTGGCCTTAAATTGTGAACTTAGTAATGGGGGCCTAGCTGTTCTTTTCTTATTGTGCTTCCTCTGAGGGAGAGGGCAGGGGAACTATTCCACCCACCATTAGGAGAAAATGACTGCTCTGCCCAAAGTAGACGCATGGAGAGCAGGTCTGGGAATCTTTGGGGCAGGAGACTTTAGACATATTAACTGACATTTCCCCCAGTAATATTTCCTTTTATTCCTTTCCCCATAAAACCACAAGATAGAGTGTTCTGTGCTCATTGTCTCAAAAACAGAAACCAGAGAGAGTGAGAGTGAATGAGAGGGAGAGCCAGATCATGAGTAACAGCAGTTTCCCCACTCCCAGATGAGAGAAAGACCCCCTGGTTTGGGGAAGGTGAGATGGGCAGGAGTTAGAGCCAGGTTCCAGATGGCTTCCTGAGAAAGATGTCCTAGGGCCTCCACCCTGGGCATGCCCCTGTGGGGAAGGGGAGGACACAGAAGGGATTTGGATAATCTGAGAACAGAGGCAGCCTCTGCCCTCCTTCCCCACGGAGGGGAAGGTAAGGTATCAAGGGCGTTGTCAAGACCCAAGAGAGCAAGATGCAGAGTCCAAATGGCTGGGGCCTGGACGTTTCCCCCACGTCCCAGCTTGTCTGCACATTCTATACAGCAAAGGAGGGGCCCCTACCTGGATAAGGGGATCCCTGAATTGATTACCATTAAGTTTTCACTCCTGAAAAG